ACAGCTTTGCCTGCAAGGTAAACCAACAAACCCTCACCTCCATGCAGGTGCTTACATGAATGCTTATCAGAAGTGGCCCATGGGTTTGAGGTGTAGCGGTGGTTGACTTTGAGTGCAATCTCTTTGTTTAGGTTTCTCGCTCTCTCCTTGTTTTGCTGCTATGAAGCGTGAGGTCAGACCCAGTAGATTCCAGGTCAATTCTGGCAATCCTGGTGTCCCTCAGCCCAAGACACGCCGCTTGGTGTTTGTCTCTCCCTTCTCTTTGGCAGCTGAGCCCCAGCAGGGGGTGCTTGCTTTGCCTGCTCCGGTCCGCCGCGGTGCGCGTATCCCAGCAAGTGCTTGCCCTCATCCCGGTCTTGCAGACCAGCTTGTTTCAGCGCGACAGCTAGAAGACGAGGAGCGTCGACAGCTGGCTCGATCCTGGGTTGTGTGTGCAAAGAGGGTGGCAGTCTACAGCTCCTGGCTACGGAATGCTGGTGCTATGTCAGAGGCTAGCATGCAGCGCGTGTTTTGCGATCGTGCCCCCTCAACATTAAAGAAGCGCCTGCAGGGTTGGCTGCGCTGGTCCTCTTTCTGTGATTTGTCAAACATCAATGAAGCCACTCCGGACTTGGCCCAAATAAGCTTCCTAGAGAGTTTGAGCATAGGCTCTCTGGTTGACCGGGGGCGAGAGCGCAGGAAATCGGCTGTGGCAACATTGGGGGCCATGCAGTTTGGTGCTTGGAAGCTGGGCTTGGAGCGCCTGCAGGGTTTACTGCAATCACCGCCTGTCGCGGCGTGGAAAAACGCAGATTGGCATCAGACCTTAAAAAAAAGAAGCGATCCCACTGCCACTAGATATTTTAGATGCTCTGGAAAATGCAATTGCGGCGCATAGTGAGGATGAACTATTCCTGTGCGGGCTGATGCTCATGTGCTGGGGTGGCCTTAGGTGGTCTGACCTACAACGAATAGAGTTGAGTTCTGTGTCTTGCCAGAGCGGTGTGTTGCGGGGCCTTTGTTGGCGGACCAAAAGCAGCCGGCGGGGCATGGTGTGGGGCTGCCACACAATTGGTTTTTGTTCCAGTCAGTGGTGCGAACTCCTATTTCGGCACATTCAGGCCATGCGACAACAGCGCCCAGGGAGGGACTTCCTCTTGCAGTTTGGTGGCCGGCCTATGAGCTATAGTGTCGCTTTGGCTCAGTTCAGGCGTTGCTTGCGCGTACATGGAGATACAAGCACCGATTTCAGCGCAAAGTTCACCCTTCATTCTCTCAAAACCACACTGCTGAATTATGCCAACCTCTGCAGTGTTGCCCCTGCTCTACGTGCTGCACAGGGCCACCACAAGGTGGTCAGCAATGGCTGTGTCGACCTGTATGGGCGCAACGACATCCATGCGCAGCTGGAATGCCAGAGCCTTCTCCTAGCAGCAGTGCAGCAGGGCTGGTCTCCTCAAGTGACCGTCAAGCGCGGGCTTTTGCCTTTGGCTGAAAATTCAAGGAGCGGGGCGTTGCCGACGCCGGTAGACGATGAGCACACCGATGTTTCGGAGGATGAAGAGACCCAGCCATTCCACAGCGGACCTAGCAGCCCGCACTCCCTGGTGTCTTCAAGTGATGATGACAGCAATCCAGGGTTTCCGGAAAATTTGGGGCAGAGACAGCCTTTTGGCCCGAGGTGTAAGACCTCAGTGTTGGTCCCCATAGGGCTTGCCGTGCCCTCGTGTTTAGCCTTCAGGGAGTAAAGCTTTGTTGCGTTGGGGCGAATTTTGTAGGGCGTAAGGCATTTCTTTTGCCAGTCGGGCTGGTTCCTGCCTTAGGGGCTCTATCTATTTCGGTTACTGCAGCATAGTGACTAGGGGTTGTCAAACTCCCCGAAGCGGTGGAGCTTGCTAATCTGAGGTGAGGCCTTCCGCCAGTGCAGCAAGTGCTTGAGCAAGAGCCTTCAAGCTGCGTGACGGTGGTGGCATCATCTCCACGGCCGATTGGTTCCAGCCCCAAGAGGCCGACCTCGGGAGCGCCATAAGACAGCAGTGGTGGCAGCGCATTCAAGAGTGGGACTTGGTGCAAAGACTTGATGCCCATGTGCAAGCTCGTGCGCGCACTCCTTGGTTGAATAAGGAAGAAGGCACACCGGCTGAACCTGGACTTGCTGGGTCCTTTAGTGATGCAGGGTTGACCCAAGTGTCCCCTATCATTGTTCTGTGGCCGGGACTTGCGTGTCCAAAAATTGGCCGAGGCGTAAGACCTCAGTGTTGGTCCCTATAGGGCTTGCCGTGCCCTCGTGTTTGGCCTTCAGGGAGTAAGGCTTTGTTGCGTTGTTACAGATGCGAATTTTGTAGGGCGTAAGGCCTTTCTTTTGCCAGTCGGGCTGGTTCCTGCCTTAGGGGCTTTATTTCGGTTACTGCAGCATAGTGACTAGGGGTCATCAAACTCCCCGAAGCGGTGGAGCTTGCTTTGGGTGTGCCTGGGCGGCGTATTGGTGGAGCAGGGTTGCTGCTAGCACATCGATTCTTACATCACAGTCACTTCCTCTGCATCTTTGTGGACGACGCATTGGCGTTGTTCCCGCACAGGGTAGCAGCCCTCATGGCCTGCCAGCTACTGATCCTGGCCTGTGTACTTGGCTTTCCGTTATCTTGGCACAAAGTTGACCTTGGCGACCAGCTAAGTTGGATAGGCTGGGATTTGCGTTTTCAGGGCTGGTTCAGCGCATTCTTGCCAGCATCAAAGCTTGAAGCCATGCTTAGCAGTCTGCAGCAGATTTGTGCAACACCCCGCAGGGTGAACCGGAAAGAGCTTCAAACCCTGGTGGGGCGTCTTGTGTGGTACACCACAGGAGCTTTTTTTGGCTAAAACCCTGGTTTCATATGCTGGGCAAAGTGCGACTGCGCTTCCAATTGTTACAACGCAAGCAGCTGGAAGATTTGTATCATTGCTTGGATAGGGACTGCAGGGTATCCCGCCTTCCCCGGCTTTGTGATATTCAGGTTGGCTGGAAACTGCTCGAGATGGGTGGCCATGCGGTACAAAACCGGGCTGACATGTTGTGTGCGCCCCTCAAGCGTGATCAAGCCTGGCTAAAATTTGGTGAAGACGGTTCAGCAGAGATTTGCTTATCCTCTGAAGAGCTTGCAGTGGCCCGGTTTTTCACGCGGTTGCTTCAACATCAAGAGGATGCGCCGGTGCATGTGGTTGACCTCCCCGGTCCCTGCATTGTGGCGGCAGCGGATGCCTATGCAGAAGGGACCCGGGCTGGTGTGGGCGGTTGGTTGCTGCCAGAGGGTGCAGAGCTCCACCCGTCCAACATCTTCTGGTGTTCCTGCGAAGTAGATGGGCTGCTGTGCCAGCTTGGTTTACAAAAGACTTGCGTGATTTGCAATCGGCCATTGCAGCCTTGGAGGCCCTAGCCCAGTTGATCCTTTTGTCGTGCCAGCGGTCGCAACTATCTTTGGAAGCAAAGATGGGGAGAATTTCTCTTCGTCAACAGTGCGACAATATGGGTGTAGTGTGCAGCACAGCAAAGCATTTGTCCATGAAACAGCCGCTGGCTAGTGTGCTGCAGAGTACTGCGCTTTTCTGCTTAAAAGAGCGGATCACCTTGAAAATTTCTCACGTTGCTGGCGTCCGAAATGAGTGGGCTGACATCCTATCACGCGGAGCAATGCGAGACCCTTCCTTTTGGGCGCAGCTCTCCAAATCAAAGCAGCTTTTCTCAGCAAAATGGTGAGGAAGTCCTCGCAGTGTCAGATGTGGAAACGGAAGCTGCTGAGTACTCACACCTCCCGTCACCCTCTCCAAGGCAAGTGCTTGGCCTCTGCGGGACCGCCCATCACGGGTGGGACCGGTGGCCGAGAGGGTCCTCGTCGACGGTGACGTGACCAGACCCGGTGGGTCTGGACGATGTCGGTCTGACTTACTCAATCTTGGGGCTACCATTTTAGCCTAATTGCGCAGCACGCTTTGAGTGGAGTGGACGACAGTTTGGTGCTTGGAGCGACCACGCTCAGTTTGGGTAAGTTATGGGGGGGCTCTGCTGCAGGTGCTGACCTGCCAGCCCTGCAGCATCCCCCCCTGCAATGGTGGTCCTCCAAAATGGTGCGCGTGCTTGGAGAGGGAGGGTTGAACAGCTTTGCCTGCAAGGTAAACCAACAAACCCTCACCTCCATGCAGGTGCTTAATGCTTATCAGAAGTGGCCCATTGGTTTGAGGTGTACTACAGCTTTGCCTGCAAGGTAAACCAACAAACCCTCACCTCCATGCAGGTGCTTACATGAATGCTTGTCAGAAGTGGCCCATTGGTTTGAGGTGTAGTGGTGGTTGACTTTGAGTGCAATCTCTTTGTCCCACCCTCCCTCCCTCATTGAATGGAAGGGTAGGTAGGTGGCCCATGTGCTGCCGAGTGAGTTATGGGGGGGCTCTGCTGCAGGTGCTGACCTGCCAGCCCTGCAGCATCATGGTCCAAGGGAGGGTTGAAGAAAATCGTAAGCTCACCCACTCAAGCGGACGCAGGGGCTAAAGCGCTTGTTCTAGAAACAACCTAGGACGAGTAGGAAGTAAAAGACATCACTGAAGCAGGTACGTCACGGTGATCAGCCGTGAGGCGCCGCTTCGTTGGACATTGGCACAGAGTACATGGATGGTCCCCACACTTATTGAATTGCGTACGGGCGTGAATGCCACTCGCCACACGGCAACCTAAGGGACCAGATTCCTGAGAGGGACATCGGAACCTGTGAATCCTGGAGGTCTTCAAAGGAAGAGGAAGTCAAAAGCGCAAAAGCCCGAATAGACGAAACGACCGGTTGCGTGACTGCGGATTTCAGTAAAAGTTCAAACTAGCGGCTGCAATCTTTGGGGAAGGGTTTTGGGGAATATCATGACTCACCATGAAAACAAAGAACAGCAGAGAAGAGGAGAGTGTTGTCACTCGCAGTCGTTGCGTGTGGTAGGGTGAGAGTGCCACATGCCCCTGCAGTAAAAAACAAGTTGAGTGCTTCCCTAAATCCAGGCTGTAAATGGTCTTTTTGGTAAGCCACAGGCAGTGACTTCCCTTTGACTCGTTCGGTCAAACTCCCTCAAGCGCCGGTTCCCCACTCCGACCTACGGGTTCCGCTCTCTCTCTCTCTCTCGCACAGCGGCCGCGGCGGCCACCTGCTGAAACAAGAAAACGTAAAGAAATCTCAAATCCAAAAGGATCCCTGTGACTCCAAGGGGTACACACGCTTATTGAATTGCGTACGGATGTGAATGCGGTGCCACACGCCGGCCTGAGTGAAAAACCTAAGAAAACCGGGAGGACAGATAGTAGGTTGGAGGCCATCGCTCTTAGCTAGGAGGCACGCGACTAGGTTGGAGGTCGTCGCAACTAGGTGGAGGCCATCGCAACTAGGTGGGAGGCCATGGCGAGTAGACAAAATTGCAAAATAGCAAGACAATTTCAAAGGTTGCAAACATTGCGCGTAGATTGGAGGCCAGCGCATGTAGGTTGGAGGCCATCAACTAGGTTCGAGGCCGTCCCAACTAGATAGGAGGCCGTCACAAGTAGGTTAGTAAACAAGACAACGCCAAACGTTGCACAACGTTTGACACAAGTGCAGCTTGCCACACACATGCATGACATTCACATTCAAAACATTCAAAACAGAGTGCGCTCCTCAGTTAAGCCAAATTAAACAAATTAAACAAGACCCGTCCCGAAAGGAACAGGAAAGGAAAGGAAGATGAAAAGGAAGAAGATGGACATCCAAGCTGTGCACGGCGGCGCCCATGGACTGTCCGTAATGCGTTCAAGGTGGCATCCCAGCTGCAGGGACTGTCACTGCAGTGCCCAGCTACGGCCCCCACTGAAGGGGTTTGCCGTCCAGGGCCACTGCGGCAGGTACGTTTGCACACCTGCCACTGCCGGTCTTCATTGGCCACAGCGGCAGTGGCAGGTCTGTGGCCCCTACAATAAAGGGAGTCAAAAAAACAATCCGACAGGATGCCTCCGCGAGGGGAGGCGTAAAACTAAGGTTAAGGCAAATGTGCACGTGTGCACGCGCGAGAGACAAAAGAATGAAGACATGACAAGAGGATGGGACGGGACAAAGGTGTATGTGGTTGTGATGAAAGGGGAACCCAGTGCACAGGGACAAACAATGAAACCCACCTCCTTATAAAGACCTGGGGGACCTAAAACCTAGGTTTAAAGTACATGTAGTTGTGCACGTACAGGCTAAGGCCGGGGCCAATGTGCGCGCAAAAGAAATAAAGGATGAGATGAAAGACGTGAAGACAGGAGGACATGAAAGAAAAGAGGAAAACAGATGTGTGTGAAGGGGAAAAGGACGAAAAGGGTACCAAATGGAGGGACGAGAACCAATGAACCCAAACCTCATTAAACAACCTAGGCAAGCCTCGTTGAACATGTACGTGCTGTGTGTACACCAAAGGTCGCGACAGGTTCCAATGAACCTTGAGCAAGCTTTGGTCGCTGCGACTACGTACGGCCTGTTTGAAGGCTGCCACCTTTGACCGCTTCGGTCACGTAAAGGCATGAGCCAGCTTGGAGATCAATACATCGGACAAAATTCTGAGTACTCTCGGCCTAGGCCACCTACGCTCGCTGCGAGCAGCTTTGTATCCGGGCAGGGGATACCTTCGACTAACGCCCGTTCGACGGGCCCACAGGGGCTCTCACTAGGAGAGACACGCTTATTGAATTGCGCGCGGATGTGAATGCGCCACACGCCGGCCTGAGTGAAAAACCTAAGAAAACCGGGAGGACAGATAGTAGGTTGGAGGCCATCGCTCTTAGCTAGGAGGCACGCGACTAGGTCGGAGGTCGTCGCAACTAGGTGGAGGCCATCGCAACTAGGTGGGAGGCCATGGCGAGTAGACAAAATTGCAAAATAGCAAGACAGTTCCAAAGGTTGCAAACATTGCGCGTAGATTGGAGGCCAGCGCATGTAGGTTGGAGGCCATCAACTAGGTTCGAGGCCGTCCCAACTAGATAGGAGGCCGTCGCAAGTAGGTTAGTAAACAAGACAACACCAAACGTTGCACAACGCTTGACACAAGTGCAGCTTGCCACACACATGCATGACATTCACATTCAAAACATTCAAAACAGAGTGTGCTCCTAAGTTAAGCCAAATTAAACAAATTAAACAAGACCCGTCCCGAAAGGAACAGGAAAGGAAAGGAAGATGAAAAGGAAGAAGATGGACATCCAAGCTGTGCACGGCGGCGCCCATGGACTGTCCGTAATGCATTCAAAGTGACATCCCAGCTGCGCAGACGCCCAGGGACTGTCGCTGCAGTGCCCAGCTACGACCCCCACTGAAGGGGTTTGCCGTCCAGGGCCACTGCGGCATGTACGTTTGCGCACCTGCCACTGCCGCTGTGGCCAATGAAGACCGGCAGTGGCAGGTCTGTGGCCCCCTGCAATTAAAGGAGTCAAAAAGAAAATCCCACAGGATCCGATTCCAAGGGGTACACTCTGACATTGGTTTTCAGTTAACTCGATTCCCACGTTGAGAAGGAAGGTGAACGAACGAAAAGGTGGAAGAGTCGGCAGAACAGTATTGTTTAACAGAAGGTTACGCGTGACTGCAGAACACTAGTTACTGAGTACTTAGCAGACCTAGGAAAGGAAAGAGTGAACCGAAAGGTGAAGAGTCCGAGTAACAAAAGTTGACGCGTGACTGCAGAAAACTAGTTACTGAATACTTAGCAGACCTAGGAAAAGAAAGAGTGAACCGAAAGGCGAAAAGTCCGAGTACTTGAAGGTGTTTTAACAAAGGTTGACGCGTGACTGCAGAAAGCTAGTTACTGATTACCAGATTGAATTCACGCCGTGCAAGGAAACCTGTTTTGGGGGATATCATGCGAAGAACCAACATGGAAACAAACCAACAGCGGCAAGGGGAACCAGTGGAGTCATTGCGTTTGACGCAGGTACACAGTGGAGCGTCCTCCACTGCTTCAGCACCAACCGATACCCTCTTCGTTGGACGGGTAGTATCGGTGGTGACCCGTCCCCCTGCCTCTTTTTTCTGTGCGTGAAGAAACTGCAAGTTAGTAGCGATACCAGAAGCCCTTAGTAGCAGAACCAGGGGCCCTAGTAGCATCCTGTACGACTCGAAACCTTAGACACAGGTCTGGACGCACACACACACACACACGCACACGCCTCCCCAATGGGAGGCGCGCAGAGACACATCCAGCGGATCATCCCCCGCAGTAGAAAACGAGTTGAGTGCTTCCCTAGATCCAGACTGCAAATGGTCAAGACAGAATCGCTTTTAGTAAGCCACACGGAGTGACTTTCCTTTGACTCGATCGGTCAAGCTCCCTCAAATTTAATAAGTTATTTGCCGGTTCCCCACTCCGACCGGCGGGTTCCCGCTCTCTCGCTCTCTCGTGCGGCAGCCGCGCGCGGCGCCGCGCGCGAAGGGGGATGAGAAAAAGAAGGAACGAGACGACGGTGTTCCCAGCTACGACGCAAGCGGCCAAGGACACACCCGACAAGATAAGAAAAGAGAGAGAGAGAGAGAGAGTGAGAGAGGTGCTCCCAGCTACGAAAAGGAACGAGACGATGGTGTTCCCAGCTACGACTCAAGCGTCCACACGCCACAAGAAAAGGAAGGAGAGAGAGAGAGGTTCTCCCTACGAAACAAGCGTCCAGGGACACACCAAGGGAGAGGGGTTGTACCTGAGTATTGCATCCAGGAACGCACCAAAAAATGCAAAAAAGGAAGAGGGGAGAGGGAAAGGGGAGACCGCTGCGGCCACGTGCGCCGTGCCAAAATGGCTGGCTGCTCTGACCGCTGCGGTCGCCTAATAGCTTGCCCGAATGGAATTCAATAGTCCGCGGGTAAGGGAGATAAATAAAGACAAACCCCCGTTCGACGGGTCCACAGGGGGGCACTCTTCGGGCTCACCCTGGGCTCTCACGACAGAGACACACTTATTGAATTGCGTACGGATGTGAATGCCACTCGCCACACGGCAACCTAAGGGACCAGATTCCTGAGAGGAACACCGAAACCTGTGAATCCTGGAAATCTTCAAGAAGAGGAGGCCAAAAGCGCAAAAGCACAAATCGACGAAACGACCGGGTGACGGCGGTCGTGCGTGACTGCGGATTTCAGGAAAAGTTCAAACTAGCGGCTGCAATCTTTGGGGAAGGGTTTTGGGGAATATCTTGACTCACCATGAAAACAACGAACAGCAGAGAAGAGGAGAGCGTCGTCACTCGCAGGTAGACAGGGCTGATCAGGCCCTGCTTCCCACTCGCGCCCACAGCTTCGTTGCGGGTGAGAGTGCCACAAGCCCCTGCAGTAAAAAACAAGTTGAGTGCTTCCCTAAATCCAGGCTGTAAATGGTCAATGCAGAATCACTTTTTGGTAAGCCACAGGCAGTGACTTCCCGTTGACTCGTTCCGGCAAACTCCCTCAAGCAAACGATTTACCGGTTCCCCACTCCGACCGACGGGTTCCGCTCTCTCTCGCACAGCGGCCGCGGCGGCCCCCTGCTGAAACAAGAAAAACGTAAAAAATCTCAAACCCAAAAGGATCCTTGGGGGGGCTTGTTGCTTTATTGAGCCCTCAAAGCCGCTAGTCTAACCATCCGATTGCGATCCTTTGAATCTTGTTGTGCATTTGATTTTCAAAGTGAACTTCTCGGTGAGTTCTGCTCCCTCCAGGACTTTGACTGGATGAAGCCATCACCTAGTCAGTGGAGTCTGATCGTCCGAAACCATATAGTATACTCAACGGTTGATCGGGCGACTTAGCCACCAGAACAAAAGTGTGTCGAAGCGGCCCTAAGGGCAAACTGCACCAAAAAAAGGACCCGGTGAAGGCAAGAGCGAAGCGGGCCAGCACAGGAACTCAAAAACGAAAAACACCTCGCGTCTGTCACTAGCTGGAACCTCCAAAAGGGGACCAGAAGCAAAAGACAGGTTGGGTGCGAGAAAAGCAAAAACATGCGCAGGGAATTACAAAAGAACTCACTCAATGCGGCGAAGGACGGCCCGAGCATTCTCACGGTGAAGGGCCACTGCCGGAGATTGAAGAATAAACAAACAAAACATAATCAACTCCTGACGCGTAGCAGCAAACAACGGTGTCAACAAACAAATGTAAATATCACTGGAACAACCCTAGTTCAGCAGCCTTTTTGTTGCATACCAACTGCAGTACCAGTATAGGCGGAGTAGTTTTGCTTCAAGAGGTGCTTTTGTGTGAGTGGCCACTTTCAGACCACGCCATCCACCAGCCCCGAGTGACGGATGCTCATACATTTGGCGAGCAGTGTAGAGGGAGTGAGTGCAGGCGAACATTTCCCCCAACAGCGAGTCTTAGGGGTCTTCAGTAAAGATTTCGGAGCAGATCGGAGCAGGTTCGCAAGTCTGCTCAGGAGAAGTTGGGAAGTTCCGGAGCAGGTTCCGGAGCAAGGAGCAAGTTCCTGAACAAGTTCCGGAGCAGGTCCCGCAGCAGGTTTTGAAGTAGGAGCAAGCTCTGGAGGAGAGCAAGGCTTTCCCAGATCCCCCAACCAGTGCACCTGAACTCAGCTTCTCACGGCTTGGTCAGGGCGTATTCGCCTTGGAGTTTTGTCAGCACCCCACATCCTTTGCGGAGCGTGCGAAGACACTTGAGTTCTGCGCATGGCGAACCAGCTGACGAGCCACTAGGTTTTGCAATGGTTTTGGGGGCTGTGGTTCATGTGATCAACGCTTCCTGCAACTTTGCTACACCTGCCTTTGCTCTCCTCTTCGGCGCGCGCTCATGTTCAGGTTGCAGCTTCACGACTTTCTGACTATCAAAGCCCCTCCCATTTTCTTGGTGGGAGTGCTGCTTCCTTTTTGCATCTCAGATGCCGTAGTCAAGGCTGCGCGTCATCGTGACGTTTCCTGCGTAGCTCAGGCATGCGAACTTTTGGGTTGGAGCCACAAGCACGTTGTGCCCTCATAATGGTCGGAGTGCTGACCTTGAGTCTTTTCGAGGCTCGAGCTGAACATGATCATGGTCCTTCAGGAACAGACTATTTTGTGAATGTCAAATATATGGCGCAGGCAGACTTCAGAAATATACCACCATGAAAAACTCAGAACATGACTTTTCTGTGTAGTGCTTTCGCAGCTGTGTAGGCGGTGACCAGCCTGAAAACCCAGCCAATCCAAGTGTGTCAGTCCAATCCCGTTCTTGGTTCGTTCTACTTGCACCAGTGGCAGCTTATTATCGGTCTGGTTAGGTAGGAATAAGCAGGTCAAGTGTGAAGTTCTTGTGCACTCACTTTCAATTCTTATTTATCCGTGATCACGGATCAGCGTACGCCATTTTGGCTCAAGAGAGTTCTTCCTCCAGTTGTTCAACTGGGGACGTTCGTTCCCCTTGGGGCCTGGGAAGTGAGCTATGTCCGGGGCGCCAATGCTGCGCACAACCCGTTCGAGGTTAAGCTCCCAAGGTTCATCAGCTGGCTCGAATGCAACGAGGACGACATGGTCGACAACTCGATCATCATGTCGGACGATCGGGATCTTCGTATGGTGTCACCATTTCAATCGTGGTTGACGCGTGAAATCATGTCGAACTCAGCAAGCTCGATTAACGTTCTCACTGAACGTGATCAGGAATGCCACCCAGTTCAGGCTACCACCTCACTTTGTTCGGGAGTCGACGGAATCAAGGTCGTAGTGGTGGCTCTTGAGACAGAGACGGGCTCAATGAATGCAGGTTGGGATGCTGACACGGCTACGGCTCTTAGCCGCCTTAGCCATGTGGCATTCCAACCCTTCACGTGCCCCATGCTCAGGGACACGTCAGCCTCCTACAGCGACCTCAAGATCTACAACGGCAACGAGGTCCTCTTCCACTGGATCTTTCGGGGCTATCGGGTGCTGGTCACGGAGGCCAACAAGGGCAAGTGGCGAAGCGGTCCTCACCAGAGCGATGGAGGCCGCCGGTTTTCCATGTCTTCCGCCCATCGACCTGAAAAACGAGTTTATTCATTTTTCCACTGACGTGACCCATCCTCACGTCTTACAGCGCATTCAGATGCTCATCCAAGAAGGCTACATCGCCTACATTCACTTCGGCACTCCGTGCTCGTCGTTCAGCCTGGCCAGAAAAGCAGATCAAAAATCCGCTGGCAAATGCCGCCAGTGCAAGATCTTTGCTCACAGGGGGCCGAACGCATCGAGCTCGATATTATGTGCCGTTTCGGCTCTCCACACCTCAAGCCCACCGCCATAGCGACCGCCGCTCAGTTAAACGCTCCGCATCACCATGATCCCTTGGTGGGCCTCGAAGTGGTCAACGACAAGAAGCAGTTCAAAACCAAGCGAGCCCAGGTCTACCCACCTGAGTTGTGCTCCCAGTGGGCTGCTGCTTGGATCTCTGGCAGATCCTAACGGGCTCACTTTCACCATGGTCACCCGTCCAACTGAGCGCAAGCGGCCGCTTGGCCAACCAGTGCCATGGCACGGCCATCGGCAAGAGTTCACAGGCGCCAAAGCTCTCGGCGCGGGCTACCAGCTCAAGCGATCTGTTCTCCCACCCTTGCTCCAAGTGGAATATGAACCAGGGCAAGTCGTGAAGGTTGCGCTCGAGTTGATTCACCCATTCTCACGAGCGCCGGTGCTGGATCCAGATCTGCGCGAAGCTTTGGCATTGTCTGCTTACCGCCCCGAGTGGTCACGCGCTCACCGATGCCGTGCTCTCACCTAGTGGGAACAGCAAGCTCATGCTCTACTCCCCGAAACGGATCAATTGCTGCAGCGGGTCTCGGACCCTTGGCTCCGCGGCCTTCTGCGCGGTGGGGCTGACGATCAGCCCCTCCAGTTGGACAAATGCACCCACATAGCTCTGTGGAAAGCCATAGCATGGCGCGCGCTGCGCGATCCGTCTGGTCGGCATGCCTATCATAGGCGAGGTCTCCCGGTGTCACAGACTGCTCTCCATGCATGATCTGTACACGAGGGCCTGGGAGTTTTCCGCCAAAGTTCTTAGACACATCAACAAGTGCGAATACCCAAAAGGTCTGGGACGCGACCATGGAAGATGTGGCGGAAGGGGTCACATTAAATTATAGGTCCTTTCTTCACACAAGACGAAGCCAAGATCGTTGGAAGTCCCTGGATCCCGACCCAGATTCGAAGTTGTGCAAAAGAACAAGGTCAGGGGTTGACAGCGCCACCGCCAACGGGATCAATGTGGCCACTCAAATCACAGAGAAGCTTGATCTGACTTCTACAGACGTGAACGTGGCTGCGATCCGATGGCTGCGTTCGCATGTCGGCCAGAGGCCTCTGGCAGGATGGGTCTTGGAAAGCTTATCGCCAAGTGCCGATCGAGCCAGGACACAGGAGATGGAGCGTCATTGCTCTGAAGCAACCTTGTTCAGGGAAAGTTGCATTTTTCATTATGGTAGGTCACTCTTTTGGCCTTGTTTCCGCAGTCTACAATTACAACCGTAGGTCTGCGGAGATAACGGACAAACTTCGCAGGATCTTTTGTGTAGCTGCGTTCGACTTTTGTGATGACAAGTACGGGTTCGAACCCGAAGATACAGCAAATTCTGCGTTCACCGCAGCTCAAGCAGTTCACCTTTGGTTGGGAGCTCAGTTTGATCAGAAGAAGCTCAAGCGCACTTCGGCGCCTACAATCCTTGGGGCGACGTATGATCTTAAAGATATGCAGCTCTTGATCAAGGAAAGTAGGAATCGAACTCCTTGACGAAATTAGCTCGATACTGAAAGCTCAGATCCTCTCACCTGGCCAAGCCGGAAAGTTACGAGGTAAGCTGATGTTCGGTTCGTCCCAGCTCTGGGGAAAGGTGGGAAGGGCGTTCTTAAGAGCTCCCCGTCTTTTTCACTTAACAGTTGACAGAGCTCACCAGCAGACAGCGCTTGATGAGTGGAACTTCTTGATCAAACAAGGCCGAGGTCCATTGAGTTGGTCAAAGAACGGAGAGATGATTTAGGTGATTTTCACTGATGGCAGTTATCCCGACGATCGGGTTGACAGTCTAGATCACCCATGGATCGGCGGCGTGATTTCCGGAAAAGGTCTGCGCCCGCGCCAGTTCGGTGCCCGGGTTATCAACTTATATGATTGAAATGTTTGCCGTGGTAGTCGCCCTAGAAACTTTCAAAGATTTGATTACCAATTCGTGGTTTCTTTTGTTTGTCGATTCAGAGCCTGTTCAGGGAGCACTCGTGAAAGGCTACTCAGCCAAGGAGGATTTGTGCGAGCTCACGGGCGTTTTCTGGAAACTTGCTCTTTCGATCAAAGTACAGTCGTACATCGATCTGGTGTCGACAGACGCTAACCCAGCAGATCGCCCAGCGCCAAGTTAGGATGGACAACAGTCCCTGCGCAGACGCCGAATTTGTAAGCAGCGTGGGTGTGTTGTTCGTTCTTTGATTTTGTTCAGATCATCTGATTGATGCTACCAGATCGTGTAGCTTCAGGTGCTAACCTTCCAACCTACCCAAGACGCACGGAAGGAAAAAGATTTGCGCTTCTTGATGTGCCACTTGGTTGTTCATTTGTGAGTGGAGGGCTCTAAGCAGGTCAATTGTGAAGTTCTTGTGCGCCCACTTTCAATTCTTATTTATCCGTGATCACGCATCAGCCAATGGCGTAACGCCATTTTGGCTCAAGAGAGCTCTTCCCCAAGTTGTTCAACCCACCCACCACTCCCCATGATCCAAGATCCCTGGATTGGGGAACGGTGCCAGTGCCCTGTGTTCCTATCTCAACACTTAGGACGCTGGCAGTCGCTCGATCTGGCCACAACAAGCTTGAAGAGCTCGGCGCGGCTAGCGTTCGATGCCGTGACTGATGATCTGACGATCTTTTTGATTTTTGATTTCGCAAAAAGCGCAATCTACTCCGGGTAGCTTCGATCGGAGCTGCCGCGCATCCCTCATGAGCAGGTAGTCTATTCAGACTGCCTTTTGCTGGAAGGTGCCGTCTGCCGTTCTGCTCCGCAGGCGGCTTTTGTGACAAAGGGCAGTGTGGAAAGGCATACCTTGTTCAAATGACGGGGTGTGTTGTTCGTTCTTTGATTTTGTTCAGATCATCTGATGGATGCTACCAGATCGTGTAGCTTCAGGAGCCAACCTTCCAACCTACCCAAGACGCACGGAAGGAAAAACATTTGCGCTTCTTGATGTGCGACTTGGTTGTTCATTTGTGAGTGGAGGGCTCTGTTCAGAGCCCGGAGAGAGAGAACTTAATTGGATCGCATTTTGCCATTTCGTTCAGGTGCTACCGCTCTTCTGCGTCGCGCTTTTCATTCCAGTCCTTGGCAGCATTTCTGCTGTATTTGGAGACACGCGGACGCTGATGACAACCTCAACAATTCTTCTGGGTAGCTTCTTCAATCAGACTTCTTTCCTCGTCCCCTGGCCTGAAGACCGGAGTTTTGGGTTTTCTTGTAAGATTTAGAGCTGAACTTCAGTGCTTCACAGAAGCATGCGCAATAACTACCAATGGTCAATAGTTTCAGTCGTTTCAAGAGTATAGTCTTTCACGTCAACTTCCAGAACGCGTGTCACCCAGCTTCAAAGCTTCAGGCAAGGCGCGCAAAAGAGGAGCTTCTGTTTTCTCGTTTGGTTCTCGCTTCGCAGGTACTGGGTAGTTTGGTGATCAATGCTATCTTTTCAAAGTGTGGCATTTTGGACCTGCTGATGTCTATACTATTGAGACGCTGGAAGCTGGAGAGCAAGAGTTTCCTGCTACATGGAAGCAGATAATCTGTAGCTTGTTGGAACCGGGACTCGCGCATTCTTTTCTTGACTCGTAACTTGGCTCTCAGCGCGTGATGAAGCCGAAGCGATGGATGTGTCATGTGGGCCATGTACAGAGCATTCAATTTTTCTTTGCGCGTGGCAAGCTTGTTAAATTTGATCATTTTTCCCACATAGCTGTAAGCTGAAGGGGTTCTACCTTCTCAATGGTGTGGCTGTGCATCGGCGTTTTGGTTTTGAAGGTGCTCCTGCCGTGCTGCCGCTGGTAGAGGTGCCGGTGGCTGTGGATCGGCGTTTTGGTTTTGCGGGTGCTGCTGCCGTGCTGATGCTTTTGAGGGTGCTGCTGCCGCACATATGTTGGTAGGGGTGGCGGTGCTGGCTGTGGATCAGCGTGTTGGTGTTGAGGGTGCTGCTGCCGTGCTGACGCTGGTAGAGGCGCAGGTGGTGGCCGTGGATCGGCGTTTTGGTTTTGAGGGTGCTCCTGCCGTGCTGACGCTGGTAGAGGCGCAGGTGCTGGCCGTGGATCGGCGGTTTGTTTTTGAGGGTGCTGCTGCCGTGCTGATGCAGGTGCTGGGTGTGGATCGGCGTTTTTGTTGTGAGGGTGTTGCTGCCGTGCTGACGCTGTTGCGTTGTTGTTTTGCCTGTGCTGGTGGCGTGTTTGTGCTGACTCGGGGTTTTGCTTACAGTGTTTGGGGGCTTTGCTTTGCTTACAGTCTTGCTACATGGCGGCTGTCGAAACTGATTGCGCAATGGCAGGCTGAAGGGGCTTAACCTCTCAATGGTGTGGCTCTGGATCAGCGTTTTCGTTTTGCGGGCGCTTCGTTTTGCAGGTGCTGGTGCAGGTGCTGGGATGACATCATGGCATGGCAGGGGCGACATGTCACGCCAGAAAGGACCAAAAACATCATGGCGTGGCAGAGGCGCGGCGACGTCATGTCCTATATGAGGGGTGAAATAATGTCATGCCAGGGATGACATCGTGGCGTGACAGGGATCATGTCATGCCAGGGGTTACGTCATGTCACGCGAGAGTTGACATCGTGTCATGCAAGGGATGACACGCTGTCATAGGGCGTACAACAGCGTCTTGTGCAGCGCGATCATAACGTCGTCCGGGCAGCTTTGGCCGGTCCTTGCCGATTTTGAAGTGTTGGGCAAAGCGTGGCACTCAGCGGACTGGTCTGATGTGGCGTGCTGTGGTGACAGCCGTGTGTGGCGTCCTTTAAACCTATTATACACCCGCTATCTGGGGTCTATGCCGGTGTGATTGTTTAACCCTGAGAATCCTGACCAAGCACAGGTTAGTCATCATGCTGTGCGCAATGACAGCCTGCTCAGTGCTTCTTGGATGCAAACCCATGCCTTTCGGCGCAGTCAATTCATGATGTTTCCAAGCACCCATGGGTTTCCTTTTGGTGAGGCTTTGCTCGGGGTTGATTGTGGTGCTGGCAGCGCTAAAACCGCTCATGCGTCAAGGTGAAGCCAAGACTGGAGTTCTGAAAAGTGAAAAATTTGCAAAATGCTGCAGACGCTCAGCTCTACTTTGCACAGGATTCTTTCGGTTGAGCCAAGGTCTTGAAGAAACTGCCATCAAGCGGCTTCTATTGGGTGTTGCATTTTCCGCCAATGCAGGGTCCATACTCTTGCCGATCTCAAGCACTACCACCCTCATCACGCTGAGTTGCGCGACAGACAATCCATTGGGTGGCGCTTGCAAACCGATGTGTCAAGGGAAACGCAAGTCCCTAGACGTCCATCTCCCCCCAGAAGAGATCCATACAGTAAGCTATATATCTTGTTGGCGATGCCAAGTAGCGTGATTTTTTGTGCACGGTGCCTCTCTTTCAACCAGGGGATTTGGATAGAGCACGCCAGGACCTAAAACCTCCTTATATATATATAAGTATATATGTGTGAATTTTACCTGTTGTTGGTATCTTGTGTACAGCCGAGTTCTGTCCATGGTACATTCTGCTGCGGTTTGGGTTTACAGGGCCCTTGAGCTTCCCGCACTTACGCGACGTGAAAACGCCGTTGGACGTCGCGGTCGGGATCAATTTCGCATTGGTAGCGGAGCAGGTTCGGGTCTCGTCCCACTGCATCCATCAACCCGTAAATCCGCCGATCCAGGATTCGTTCGTGCGTTCGCGCCGAGAATTTGCAACCAAGTGTTGTTGAAATTGCCCGTTGAGGCCTGACAGACAGGAAATGTCGGTCGAAGGACAAGAATTCAGCAGGCGGTACTCATTTGGAGACCAAATCTGGTTCGTACATCTACTATAATGATGCTGCATCGTTTCATGATTGGGAATTTCGCACTCGCCTTCGCGTTCGCCTGTGGAAAGAAGGCAGCAAACAGAAGATCCATTCCCGAAAGAGTACTCCAGCGACAACACCAAAGAAGGGTGACGTGCCCAATGGAGGTACTGAGGAGGACGCTGAGCTCCCACGTTTCCCTCCTCTCGAACCAGAAGACGAGGAAGAATTAATTTAAGTAGTCGTCACCAAGCCAGACATCATGACACTCGTGAACAAGATCCTCGAAGGTTTGCGTGGAGATGCCTTTTTGCTTGCCAGGGACGTCGGCCTTGATGCCCTGACCAGTGAGGAAGGATTGGAAGACCTATTGCAAAAGATGTCGTATTCCCACGTGCCAATGAGGAGGCGAAGGAGCTGGCCCTTTGTCACGCCAAGCTGGAGAGTCCATGCTGTCGTACACCAATCGACGCAAGCGTTGGTGGTGTCACTCAGCAGTCTTCGCGCCGAACTGTTGCTCGAGTTGTCTGGTTTGTCGCGTCAGGAGATGCTTGTGACCAAAGCATGCGCCATCCCCAAGAACTTCGAAGAGTGTTCATCTCAGAGAAGGTGGCAAGACATGGCAAGGCCGCTCTTCACCTATGTCTGGGAAGGGCAAGAGCTATTCGAACCATTCAGGAAAAGGCAAATCATTTCGTTCAGGAAAAAGCAAAGGCAAGGTTGTCCGTAGCCAGATGAGCGTTGAGCAACGCCGTGCCAAGCTTCGTGAGTTGAAGCCCAAGTCAAAGTCTCTTCGTTGTGGAGGCATGGGACATTGGGCAGGTGACCCTGGTTGCAAGTTTGCGAACAAGCCACAACCCCCGAAGCCTGCTGCCAACCTAGCCTATGAGAGTGAATCACCAGATGATGAAGGGTTTGTTTATTATGTAGGTGCAGCCACATCTGCTGAGCAGACCAATGCAGCCATGATGGCATTTCGATCAGGAGCATCCGGTAAGGGTTCGCGCCCCCGCCCGTCGCAGGCACAGTCGTCTATGGTTCGTGCAAACGATGCCACTTCGTCCGACTCAGGCGCCCGAGTAACTCCGTTGTCGGTCGAGCGCTCGATGGGACTCAACAATGTGTTTCAGATTGGGCAGTTCAAGGGGAAGACCTATTGGGATGTTCTGCATCGACAACCCCAATTCTATATGTATGGGCAAAGAAGGAAGGTTCTTGTGTTCCCGGAATCCAGCAGTATGTGCAATGGGTTGACCAGTTCTTTGAGTTCAGGGGTGGAGAGATTTACCTTCGTGATGAACCTGTTCAACCTCCCCCTGCAATGCCCGGTAGCACCAAGAAAGGCACAGCAAAGGCGACGCCGCCTTACCCGCCATTGCCCAACAAGTGCCAGAACTGCCAGGAGTTTTCGTTCCGAGGGAGCACGGGATACACGATTCGTCGCGCGTGTTTGCGTTGTGGGCATTCGTCCACCGAGAAAAGGGAAGAGAAACTTCAATACAAGCCTGAAGATTGTCCGCGTGAATCCACCGATAACAGGGGATCAAGCCGTTCGACTCATCGCGTGTGGTGCAAGCAATGTTGTTCGTTCATTGAACTGCCAATGGAACTACGCCGTGAGCGAGTTGCCTTGGCACAAGCTGTGGAGTCAACAAGCCAAGATGTTTTGACCCCAGAAACGGAGGTAGAATCTTGGGCATTTTCAGCGGTTTGGTTGAGTCGGAATGCTCGTCGTCGCCTGACACCCTGACTCAGACTCGACTTCGTGAACTACTGCAAGAAGCCGCGTTCCAAGACCAGATCTTGTTGGAGCAGGACCCTGTCGGCGATGAGATTGCCTGTGGCCTTCGGGACCCCGAACACATCGGTTATATACGCGGCCGTCGCGACCAGTGCATTCGTGTTCCATTCGGAAGTGCATTCGTCGAGCAATGGTTTGGTATACCCCCAACGAAAACAGAGACATGTGGTGCGAGAGTGACCCCAACATCTACGCCATTTTGGACGAGGGTTGCAACAGCGCATGCCATTCGCAATACTGGATGGAGAAAGCAGAAGCCAAATTCAAGCAATTGGGTTATGAAGTAGGCTGGGCATCGAAAGAGGGCAAGGTTTTCTCAGGTCTTGGGAGCCAAGGAAACAAGACCCAAGGTTGCAGGGTTTTGCCATTTTCGTTGAACATGCAAGACAACCAAGATCCCATCCGAGGAATCCTCGAATCGCGTCAGCCCCAAGAGGGTCGATCGCCGATGCTTTTGTCACTTCATGCACAGTCCCACTTAGGCCTAGTGAAGGAGTTGGCAAAAGGCACCGTTCATATTGAAGGTCGCCAACTCCCCATCTTTCGTTGCAGCAAAATGGCCTTCTGATGATTTCGTTGACTGGGGGACTGATCGATGCCACCCGTATTTTCCAGGGCGTGCCGAAGTGTCATCGCAAGTTTCGCTGTTGCTACATGGCTCGAAACGTTGCATCGATTTCTCCAGACCGTGGGCCGGGTAACGATCCCGCAAAGGCGTTCATTGGCCACAGACCATCCGAGCACAAGGATGCGCAGACTGCAATCGATCTTGTGCAAACAAGCGTTTTGATTGTGAGCAAAGGGGCCCGGTTTGAACAGCCTTTGTATCGTGGCGCAGAAGGCCGAAGGCCACTGCTGAGGATCGATCTGCGAAAGCTATATGATCCTTCGACAAACAAGTCCATGGCTGCGCATGTGGGAAGTCATCCTCGCATTCTTGGAGCGCTTCTAGCCCTTGACGAAATGAAAGCTCATCTTGTGAATGCGCGTGAGTCATCGAGAAGTACGCCAAGGATGGCGGTTGCGCCGTTGAGTTTGGCTGCAACGGTGGTCGCCGCAGATCAGTCGGAGGAGCATCACGGTTGTCGGCCGTAGCAGTTGAACTTGGATTTAGCGTGACGCCAGTCCATTACACGTCTGAACATTGGCGCGAAATGCGCTGTGGCGGTTCGTGCAACGAGTGCCAGGACGTGTCCGCCGGTCTTGAAGTGTGCAGGCGATTTGACTGGGTGCAGATGAACGCAAGGCCTGTCGCTGATCCGGAAAAACGACATATACTTCATCATCAAAAACACCACCATTGCCACCGCCGCCTGCTGAGCATGATGCACCATGGCCATCTACTCCGAAGATCATCCCACGTGCTGCCAGGTAAAGCAAGGGGTCTACTCATTCTGAGAGGTCTCGAGCCGAAGTGTCGCAACGCGCTTAGGAGACAACAGATGAGCATGCGTGCAGAAGAAACATCGCCGCCGTCGACTGTTCATGGACGCAATTCAGAAGATGATCGTGACCGAAAATTGCAAGAGTTGACAGCCACTGTTGAGAAGCTTGCCAATGTCATTGAGCAGCGCGTGTCAAAGACTCAAAAGACAGAGCGTGTTGAACCCAGGCCAAAACATAGATCACGAACACCAAGACGAAGACGTCGTGACAGCAGGAGCAATTCGAGGACCCCCGCGCGGGGGCCGGCGACATCGATCACGCAGCCGACGTGATTCGAGATCCAGAAGAAGGTCACCGCAAGCCAAAGCAATCTGTTGTGCGTCGGAGTTTGCCTTCTCGCCCAAGTGCGCCATCCAAACCAATAGGAAAGCCTTCAAGACCGACAGGAGCAGCGCCATGGCAAAGCGTCCAACCAGATCGTCACAGTCAAACGAAATACGCGCATTCTGATCGAGAATGGGGAGATTGGAGTGACTATGGCTAGAAAGACGATAGCAAGAGGTCCGACAAGAAGCAAAGAGATGACAAAAGTGGATCGACAAGGGCTGGGTTGAGCCGTCGCCATCCAAGTGGAAGACACATGACAGGCCGCATTCACCACAGAGTACGCCGCTGGCAACTCCATTGAGGAAGACGTCCATGGCCCGCAATCCTCTTGATGATATTTTGCAAGAACCCGTCGTGAAGGAGATCAACGAGTGCATGGATCAGGCAGGATCAAGTCAAGATGCAAATGCTTCGTTTGGCCGAAGAGCAAATCCTACAGAGTTGACTGGAGCACATCTTGATGAACTTGTTGCCCTAGCTCGTCGCCGCAAGAACCCTGATCGTATTTTCTGGGTTGCAGATGATGAATCACCATCTCTGTGCGATGGAGAAGATCACCAAGTGGTGTTCGAGTGAACATCCGAATCAAGGGTGGACTCGCCAAAGTGTCAGCTAAGCGACTTGGGATTGAGTTGGCCGCAACTGATGAGAACTTGTGGCAGGGACCTCAGAGAACATGGAACATTTTCCCCAACGGAGGAGATCGTTTTGACTGGATCAGCACTCACACGATGTTGAGTGATTGTTTGACAAAGAGCATGAAGACGGACCTACTACTTTCGGCCCTTTGATCGCGCGTCTACCAAGTTGACAAGAACAAGGAGAAACGACGAGCAGAACGATGATTCGTAGAAGAGCATAGATTTGCCTAAGTAGAGAAGTTTCACTACCTTGAACGCAGAACTCACTACGGTACTCCTTGTAGAAATTCCTGTTTAGATGGCAGATTGTACATAGCTCCTGGACAGACTCGAAGAACAGGTTGAGCGTGAATTTTCCCTGTTGTTGGTATCTTGTGTACAGCCGAGTTCTGTCCATGGTACAGTCTGCTGCCATTTGGGTTCACAGGGCCCTTGAGCTTCCCGCGCTTACGCGACGTGAAAACGCCATTGGACGTCGCGCTCGTGGGCCATTTTCACATATGTTTCTTGTTTTTTTCCGGGGCATAAATTTCACGGTATGTCCGATATGGTTGACGCTTCTCACCTCAAAAACCGCATGTCGATACAATCGTTCTGGCTTTAAACGCATCTAAAAAAGAAAACTGCTGGTGTGAGCATCATTTGTCCTGTCCAATTGAGCAGCGGCCAAAACTTTCCAAGTAACAATTTGAAGAGAGGTTAATGTATTATCGCGAAATCAAAACATGCAGTCGTGAAAGATCCGCGAAAGATTGGGCGAACTTTTCATCTGCGAAAGCTTGCGAAAGCTCCGGAAAGTTGGCAAAAACTTGCGAAATCAGCTCCGTCCGCGAAAGCTTGCGAACGTGTTCTTGCACAGAATGCAGCACGCGCAAACCAAAACGCAAACCGCAAAAGTGTTGCGAAAGGAACTTGCGAAAGAAGAACCCATTAGAACAAATTCTCGATAGGTTTTGAACAATGTTCAATTCGCAATTCAACCAGTATTTTGAGTTTTTCCACCATGCCTTTTGCGAGTCACTCGCCAGTAGGACCTTATATACGCATACATCTATACATATACATGGGAAGGGGCACCAGAGTGGCATATGTGTAGCTGACTCTCGATCACAAGATGTCTAGCTGTCTAGCTGAGCCACCCCAAACTCAAACAACACAGGCGGCGATGTGTCAATGCATGTTTGTAGCCCCAAAATAAGATCGGCATTGCCTTGCACATTTTCATGCCCACTCGAATCATGCTCTCCTACCATCAGCCGGTAGGCGGATAATGTGTTCGTTGAAGATCGTTCAATTGGACAATCAAAAGCCAATCACCCCAAGATTCACCAGCAGAGCACCGAACTTAGCATTGCACTCGTTTTCATGTCATTGAAACTTAGGCTTGTTGCGCGACTTTGACCACAAGCTTTCCCTCGTCAGCTGGATTTTCGTGTCGGGGCCCGTGGCCTTGTTTGGAACGGTGCTCTGCTGGTGGATTTTGGTGAAGCTTTTCCCAGCAGAAGGGGATGCTAACGAAGAGGTCTACCGAACCGTGGAGGAAGGCCTTGAGGAGACCGACAGGCGCGCGAATTCGACACGTTTCTTTCCTTCAATTACAATTAACTCAGATTTGGAGATTATCAGCGTCCTATCAAGATCAAATCAATGCTTGTACTCAGAGCGCTCACTGCATTCTTTTCCTTTGGCGTTGCAACTCGTTTGCAGGCCGCAGCTCATGAGACAATGGAGTCTGTCGAATGCACCTAAGCTTGTGATGACAGATGGCCACTGGTTTATGCTGATGCTGAGCTGTGATGGCCATACATTTTTGATAGTTCAAGGCAGAATGCAGTGTATTTCCATTGCGCAATCTCTTATTTTGTCCTGAGCAAGGATGGTCACCTGTGTCGCGGTGCTCGGCATGACTGTTTTCGCGGAGGCCCTGGAGCCAGTGGTGGGACATCCAGCAATCTTGGCACTTGCAGTGGCGCCTGGGCTGGAGACATGACAACCGGAAGAGCCGGAGAACACAAAACGCTTTTGCGTTCCATGGAGCTTCCTTGGCAAAAAGTGCTTTTTGAGAAGGGGCCATATGGTCAATGATATGTAAAGCAAAAAGGTCGAGTCAAGGGACAAACAGCAGAAACAACCGCCAACTGTCATTAAACAAAGCTAGTTCAGAGCCTTTGGTCTCACCGTTTGCTTTTCCTTCTCCTGGGGTCGCTCATGTTCTTCAGTTGGTGATTATGCAGGTGTAATTGACTACGTTAGTGTTTTGTGCGCATACATAGCCTGGGCCTAAAGTTGCAGGACATAAGCAGGGATGGCTATTTTAAGAGTTGATGGATATGGGCCATAACGTGGGGTTTGGCTCTTTTTAAAGCATGGTCTTACCAAATCATCAATGGCCCTGGATTGGATTGCAGGCACCTCATTGCTGCATAACCCAGGTGGTTGTTGCCTTTGGCAGTGGTTTCATGTCACGCGATGAGTACTTGACCCTTGAGTGGGATTTGTGCCTTGAACATTTACAAAAATGGCATGCGTTTTGATATGGTTTTTGGTGAAAACTCACGGATGCTACTAGACTGCGCACTATTTTAGCTGACAGGCGGACTTGAAGCCAAACTGGTGATGATCCTTTTTTCGTAAGCGAAGCAACAACCTTGCAGGTTGGCGATCGTTGGTGGCACCAATGTAATGGCTGTTATGATACGAGAAACAGCACTGGCTGCCAACGCGTCAGTGCTACTGACCCAGGGTATCTTTGATTTCTTGGCATTTTGGCCTTTCCTCATTCTGGTTGTTTGTCTTCTATTGTGCCTTGGCCTAAAGCTTCCGCTTTTCCCGAAAGCCCAGTGAAGGGTTCTCGTTTGGGGTAGAGCTGTGTTTGTGTGACGTTGCTTTGAGAGAGTGGATAATCTCCGTATGGCTTTCCATTGGGAAAAGGTCTTGCAGGAGGCCTTGGATAGACGCTTGACAGGTCAGATTCGTGTGAAATAGCGCAGAAACGTGACTTTCCAAATGCGAGTCTGACCTTGCTGCTCATGTGCACTGCTTCGGGAGGTCAGATTTGTGTTTCCAGGGTGATTTGTGGCAGGTGCTCCGTGTCGCTGTGCCCTTGGGACTTGCTCTCGAAGGGCTGGCTTTCAAAAGGTGGGTGTTTTCGTGACAAGCCTCAGCCAACACCTCTCTTGGAGGAAGCCTTACAGGAATAGCTCATGTGTGACTGATGGAGGAAGTGGCCGCTTTGTAGTATATACACATGTAGTGCGAGGGGTAAAGAGGTTGCACAAAAGAATGTCAAACGAGAGTGTGGCACAAGAGTGTCCCACAAAAGTTGTCTGCAAGAGCTTCACACAGTCTGAGATATGCAACCTGCTGTGCGTTCGGGTTCGTGGGCTTCGTATGTCCCAAATCTTGGTTGACTGGACTTGTTTGGCCACAGGATCTTTGGTACCTTTTGTGGGCACTCCTTGACAGCTGTGCTGGTCTTACCTTTACTAGTGCCCTTGGGTGTGAAGTTGGAGGAGGCGCGATAGATGGCAAAAACTATTTAAGGATGTTCGAAAACTGCTGGCGCTGCATTGAATACACGTGATATGAATATGACCTGGATGTTGCGAGGCGGAGTCTTTTGCTTTACTTTGTTGCATTGCTATCCCCTTTGGAATGGGGATGCCGAGTGTGGCCTGTCAAGCAAGCATAACTGGTGGCGGCAGAACCGAACCATTCAGCAGGAGACAGCAGGCAGTAAATACAGTGGCAATCTTGCCAATATGTTTACCATTTTTGTTCTTCCTAAGATGTTTTTCGCTCAGTATGTTTGTTCTTGAGGCGTCCTTTGATAACATGGCCGCACAGATGTTTTCTCAGAATCTGAAGCGAAAACGTTGCGAGCCTGAGATGCAACCAGCAGCACTGGCCCTTCGAAAGTCTGAATTGATGGGTGGATTCATGACCCTGATCTGCTTGGGCATGTCACGCATGCGTGTGAGATCCAGCGCGGGAGCTTCCATGATGCGGAAAGTCCCGCCAAACATTCCAGACCTTCCAAGTTCTGAAATCATGGTGTATGGTAAGTGTTCTTACTTTTCACGGCCATTACTGTCCACATGCCTTTCCCTCGGTCCGCTTTGCATCGAATTTGTCCTCAGGTGGTTCGACTGTTTTGTTCTGATTGGAGCTGAACATGTATCCAAGTTTGCGCCCAAGGAGCTTTCAGTGCGAGACTTTTTTCACAGTGGTGGGCTTATGGCCCTTACGGGAGGATTTTTGACTGTGACGTTGGGCTCCTCGGATCTAAAAAAACGTGGCAAAGCTGGCAACATGGGCGCCAAAGGTCGCCGTGGTACGACAACTCTCAGAGGCTTAAAACGTCCAAGTTTTTGTGACCTGACCTGAACCGTAATTACTCACCCCACTCACTCTACTGGCGACTCGTGCTTGCTTGGCGTCGCGTTGCCGCCCCAAGGCTTCGGCGTGAGCTCTTTGCAACATGGGCTGCCAAAAGTGCCCACTGATGTGCTCCAGAGGCGAACACCAGCAGAGTTGGAGCCCAAAGTGGTGAAGGAGCAAACAAGACGAAACCGGGAGACAGTGTGTTCGCATGCAGTGTGTTTGGTTTTTGTGGCTATATATATATATACTTTTGTTCACATTGTGAATCATGATTACTTGAGGTAAGTATATATATATATATATACATATTTTTTCAAAGAATGATTGAATCTGTGGAAATGTAGCATGATGACATCCACTCACACAGAAGCGTCGCAAGGATGACACGCACAAACCGAAACATCTAGGCCCGAGCTTTGTCTCAAAAGGACCGCATCCCGCTTTTCATGGTAGCGGAGCGCTGGCCGTAAAGCGCCGGCGCTCCCTACCCACGTACTTGCACTACGACCTCGTCTTCATCGAGGGCAAGATTCGACGAAGGGGCAGGGCAAGCAGAGAAGCGAGCTTCTGGATTTTGGAACTCCTCATCCCACCTTTTTAAATCACGTGGTCAACCCTTCTCCTCTTCTAGAGGCTCCCTGGTGCCTCGCAGACTGTCCAGAGGAAAGAAGGAAGAAGAAAGGGAGAAGCAAAGCAGCTGGTTGTTTCAGTCCCGGCTGGGTGGAAGTTTCTCAAGAGAATTGAAAGGGTAGACCACTACGACATGGTCAAGGCACATGAAGACTCCGGACCTGTTCAAGCCTGAGACCAGAGATCAGGAGATCAAGCAGTGGAGCGACTGGAAGTTCTCCTTCGTCAACTATGTGAAGGGGATTGAACCACAGATGGCCCACAGCATGAAGATGGTGGAAGACAACCTTGGAGGGGATTTCGATGCAAGGAAGGCCATGGCGGTACGCCTTTATGGAGTTTTGACTTCATATCTGAGAGGAAGACCCCTCAAGCTGGTGCGCCACATGAAGGATGAGAACGGGTTCGAGGCTTGGCAACGCCTATTGAAGGAGACGCAACCGGCCACACGGGCACGGTCACTTGCTTTGCTGACCCAGCTTTCCCGTGTGCAATTCACTAAGGGAAAGACCATCTCCGAGCAATTGCCGCAGTACGAGTCCATCGTGACAGAGTGGATCTCAGGGCATGTGTATGCAGATGATGCAAAAGTAGCTTCAATACTACAAGCTGTACCTCCACACCTTCGAGCTCATCTACAGCTGTGGATCACAGACACCACGACCTATGAGCAAGTGAAAAACAAGGTGATGGAATTGGAAGCTTTGTCAACGAGATGGGACTCATCAAACAGTCTCAGCCTGCCTACAAGAGCAGGTATGGATGAAGCTACACCTATGGAGGTGGACTACATCAGAGGAGATAAAGGAAAGAAAGGAGGAAAAGGCAAGACGAAAGACAGCAAAGGAAAGTCCAAAGGAAAAGACAAAGGAAAGACAAAGGCAAAAGGAAAAGGCACATGGAAGAGCAGCGAGAAAGGCAAAGGAAAGAGCTCAGACAAAGGTGGTAAAGGGAAGACCGGAGCATGCCATGTGTGTGGCAAGACAGGGCACTATGCAAAGGGCTGCTGGTCAAAGCGTGCCAACGTGAATCAGATTGAGGAGCAAGCGACTACCGCCCAGGGCAATCCAGGTGGAGCCAGTTCCTCATAGGGCAAACAGGGACAGCAGCAGTGAAGATGGTGAGGTTGGAGACCCCACCAGAGTCAAGGTCGCTTGAGATTTTTGACGTGACCGCCCCAAGAGGTTCAGATTGAGATGGACATCAGCCATGGTGAGTTGGCGTGATCCGCCTTGAGGACGAGATCGAGATTCACATGGAGGCAGATGATGATGAGGAGAAGTTCATGGACTGCATAGAACCGGCAGTACTAGTTCCAGATGGTACTGTCATTGTGGCCATGGACCTGCAAGATGAGGAGGAAGAGCTCGTGCAGATGGTGAGGCGTGAGGAGACAGAGGCAAAAGAACCATGCCTGATTACATTGGACAGTGGAGCAGATGTGTCAGTTCTGCCGCGTGCCTATGCTGATGTTGGGCATTGGAAGGCAGGTTCACAAGAGCTCAGGATGATTGATGCTCAAGGGAAGCGTATAGCGCATGATGGGGTGACGAAAGCACGACTGCGAACGACCGACAGTCAGGGCAAGATGGTGGAGGAATTCATCCTCGGCAACGTGCAGCGCCCAATCCTTTGTGCAGGAAAGCTACTGAAGAAAGGACGGAGCATCTGCAACACCCAGTATGGCCTGAGCCTACGAAATGAAGAGAAAGATGTGTCAGTTCCAATTCGGAATGAACGCAATTCGTTGCAATTTGAAGCCAATATATTTGTGGTCACTGCACCTGAGAACAGGTTGAAGGAGGATAGTGTGACTGGCCAGACTGCAAGAGTGATGATGCTGAGAGGGACGCTGAGCAGATATGTTGAGGAGTTGGCCAGAGGCCAGATTGAATGACCCTGGTGAAGGATGCTGATGGAATGTGGAGCCAAGTGGAGAACATTGGCAACTACATGGAATTGGGTCTCACCGCATTCAGGAAGTTGGGAACAGGAGGACCCCTTCGAACATTGAGTGCGCCCTCAGAAATGGAAGACTACTGGGAGTTGAATTCCGAGGTCCCCATCAGACCTTATCCAGAAGAGAAGATGAGAGAGCCACAAGGTCGGCTGGATTGGTCAGAGGACGAGAGAGAAGAGGAAGAGGAGCTGGAGATGCAGTTGGAGGCTCAAGATATTGAGAAGATGGCGGTGGCTGACAGGCCAAACGAGATCGAGCTCGATGAGGTGACCTATACCGAGAAGATGTCGGTGAAAGAGCTGCAGATGGCCTGCAAAGAGCGTGAACTGCCATACACAGGAAGCAAGAGGAGGCTGCTCGACAGATTGTTGGCCTTCAAGATCAACATTGAGAACAAGCTGAAACTCTCCATAGCCAACAAGTTGTTCTAAGAGCAGCAGAGGAAGCCCATGACCATAGGACAACCGAAGTTACCAACAATGAAGGAGCAAGAGGCACATTTCGCGACCCACATCCCGTACGCTGCATGGTGCCAGGCTTGTGTAGCTAGCCGTGCCAAAGAGGACAAGCGCGAGCTAAGGGATGAAAATGTCGACGTGGGACGAAATGTGATCCAGCTGGATTTCTTCTTCGCCTACACTGGCAAGGACAGACAAGTTGCAGAGAGGTCAGATCGATTTGGGACATGCCTCATTATGACCTCATTGGAGACGAAGGCAATCCACGTAGTGCCAATACCCTCAAAGGGGTCTGCAAGCCTCAAAACCGTCACAGAGGAGGTCATCAGATTCTCGCTAGAGAATGCTTCAAGAGATCCCTGCGTGTTTCAGGGTGACTCAGAGAGGGCGATGCGACAGGTGCTCAGGACGGTCCAACAGGTCAGGACTGTGATGGGGCTGCCATGTGAGATCAGGTTGACAGGCGGCGGGCAACGTAAATCGAATGGCCAGGCAGGCAGAACGTGGAGTGCAGACGATTCGATAGCTGGCAAACTGTCTTGGATCATTTGCTGAAAGCAAGCATTCATTCAGATAGCCGGCAACTTCCACATGTTCCCATGGTCGTGCCGCTATGCCTCTTTCCTGGTCATCAGGTTTCGAGTCCTGGACAAGATTGGCCGTACAAGCTATGAGTTAGCTACAGGACACAACTACCGGGGAAAGCTTGCGTTGTTTGGAGAGACAGTCATGTTCCGCAAGCTGACTCAATACAAGGGCAACAACACCTTTCGCAGAGGCATTTGGGTTGGCAAGAACCAGTCCATGTCATTCTGACACCCGAGGGAGCGTTCGAGTCGCGAACAATTCGCAGGTTGGCCATGGAAGAAAGCTTTGTGGCAACAGACATGGTGATAGCCAAAGGACTTCCATGGAGCTACTCATCATGATGAAGCATGGAGGCCAAGCCCAACGATACAGACAACCGACCTTGGAGATGGAAGCCACGGAGGAAGAAATGAGGGCTGTTACTGAGGCAGTTGCAGCGGGAGTCGTTACTCCAGCACCTGGATCTAAGGCTCAACCCACTACTCCAGGTATGCCCGGCCTGGCAACTGCAGCGCCAACGACGCCTGTGCCGACCTCGACAACACCCAGGACAAAGAGGACAGTTGAGCATGAAGAGGAAGAAGGTCCAGAAGCAAAGAAGTTGGACAAGGAGGCATCGCCCCGGCGAGCGCATGAGAAACGTTAGAATGAAGGTGATGAGGAGGAGATTGAGAAGAAGCAGAAGACTGAAGGAGGCGAGACTGCAAGCCTGCCATCAGGGATCGTGAGAGAAAGGGAAACAGATGGACATGAAGGACCACCTGCAACTTCGCCATGTAAGATCCCGAGGCTGTACCCACCTCAGTATGCTGGAAATGGATTCCTACAGATCTCACCGAGGAGCTGCTCTACACCACAGAAGAAGCAGACGAACCTCCCATCACCAGTGACGAGCATTGGATGGTGATGGACAAGGAGGCCAGACAGAATGAGGTAAGCCGACTCAAGAAGATTCCAGTGATGGAGGAGGCAAGTGAGGAGGATGTCCACAATTCAGGAGGATACATCATCTCAACAAAGTTTGTGGTCTGCTGGAAGCACCAAGTGGAACAAGGAGGATGGTTTAGAAGAGCCAGATTGGTAGCGTGACAGTTCAAGAACAGCGTGGACTTAGAACAAACGCTCGCGCCCACATCGATGCTTGTGGTACCAAAACTCCTCATCCACTTGATGCTGAATGTCTGCAAGGAGTTCACAGCAATGACCCTGGACATCAAGGATGCCTTCCTCATGGCAGCCAAAAGAAGAAAGAGCTTTCGTTGAGCTTGATGGGAAGATCTACCGGCTGATTCGATGCTTACCAGGCCAAAGAACAGCAGCTTCACAGTGGTTCAATTTGTTTGCCGACACGGCAAAGGCCTTTGGACTCAGCCAGGACATCATGCAGCCCACATTGCTCATGAAACACCGGGAGATCTACATCACGGTGCACGTGGACGACGCGTTCATGGTGGGCAGAGAAGGAGCGCTGAGAGACTTCGTCAACTTCCTGCAAGAAGAGATGAAGTGGAATGTAGAAATGTAGAAGCAAAGGGACCATTCCACATGGGAGAAAGGTTCCACTACCTGAACCGCGAGTTCAAACTGCTGGAGGAACACTGTGACATTAGATGTGACTACAAGCAGTACGAGAGCATTTCAAAAGACGTTGATATTGATGTCTTCAAGAAGGCTTACAGGAAGACACCCCTGGAGCAGAACACCAAGAAGGACACAAGTGAAGAGCTCCAAGGTGCAGATATCACCAAGTTCAGGAGTGTGGTTGGAAGGCTGATGTATATGGCTGGTGAGAGGCCTGATGCCCAGTTCGCGATCCAGAGTTTGGCGCGGTACATGGCAAAACCAACTCAACAAGCCTGGAAAACGGCATGGCGCGTATGCTCATACCTCTAAGGCACCGAAGGCTTTGGCACTCGGCTCAGCGCAAGAGCAAAAGGGCAATCCGTCATGGACGCCAGAGAATTGGTTGAGGTGGAGGACAAGCAGATGCACCTGCTGGAGATTGTGACGGATGCTGTCTACGCCGGCAACAAGAACGACAGGAAAAGCACCACGTCCTTTCAGGTGTTTTTGCATGGCGACCTGATGGAATCCCGAGTTCGAAGTCAAAAGAGCATCTCACTGTCATCCGGAGAATCGGAGTTTGTGGCGATGGTAGGTGGCTGCTCGGATGGATTGCTGGTCCGCCACCTATGGATGGAGATGACCAAGGAGGAGCTTGAGATGAAGGTAAAATCTGACAGCTCTGCAGCACGAGCCATGGTGCAAAGGCAAGGAATTGGCCGGGTGAGGCATTTAGATGCTGCTCTCCTTTGGATCCAGCGCAAGGAGAAAGAGAAGACCTTGGCAGTGAGCCCCATTCCGACAGAGCTCAACTGCGCAGACATTGGAACAAAGTCATTGACGAGAAGAAGACTCTTCGGGCTGCTATACATGCTGAAGATGGTGAACAGCTCAGGAGACAGGATTGGGACAGATGAGTTCCAGGAGCTGGAACACCGAGAGCAGATGAAGAAAGGCCTAAAGAAGGTCATGAAGGGCAAGAAAGACCTGCGCATCGGGCTACTGATGATGATGGCCAGCATGGATGTTGCAGCAGGTTCAAGAACGAATGGAAAGGAAGAGGAAGCAGAAAATGAATGGCTCTGGTGGGCATTTGGCTCACTGGCGCTGATCGGGGCCTTGAGTCTGACGCAGTGGTTGCGGTGCAACATGGTGATCAATGGATGGAACTTCATGATGAAGATTGCCAAGAAGACGATTATGGAGATTGTGAACTACAAGAATGAAGGAAGAAATGGAATGAAAGAAAAGAGCATCCAAGCCACAGAATGGCTGGAAGCTGAAGTGATCCAGAGCTACAAGAAGCAAGCGAATGAGCTGCAGGCTGAGGTGTATCGATTGGAGGACTATGTAATCGAGCTTGGAGAACAAGTGAAAGACCTCAGGCAGCAAAGGAACGACATTTTCAGACAGTTCCAACTCACTGACCAACATGGTCAAAGGCTGATGCGAGAAAGGTTGATGTACAGAACGACCAAAGGAAATCGCATCAAGATCCATTTTAACCCGAGCTGCCCGCATTTTACGCAGGCAGAAGCAACATCTTTGTGCGCAAAGTGTGTGAGTGGAGATGGCGTGATTGAATCTGTGGAAATGTAGCGTGATGACATCCACTCACACAGAAGCGTCACAAGGATGACACGCACAAACCGAAACATCTAGGCCCGAGCTTTGTCTCAAAAGGACTGCGTCCCGCTTTTCAAAGAAAGTAAGTGTGATTGGATCAAATTGGTTTGTTTCCCGGAGGTTCCACGTGTTACAGTTACCCACATTCTTTTCTCCAAGCACTCTTTTTGGTAAATCGCCCCGGCTCATTTTCTGTGTTGATTGTGGGTTGCTTGTTTCAGGAGAATCGAGTTTTAGATGGTAAGCAGAAGCGGCCGTTCCTGAAAATGCTGGGGCAGCTACACGCCTTCGGTACAAACCGGACAAGACCCAGGAAGAGCTAAGTTTGATGCAAAAAGATGCAAAAAGGTCCTATGCAGTACGTTTGTGCAGTTCTTTCTATTTGTCCGTTTGACAAGGTTTCTATGTATTCTTCCAGATGTCTCCGTTTCTGAGGTCTTGAGCCTCAGAGATCCAAATGGTCCAAGACGAGTGGATCCGCAGGCGGAATGGTACACAGGTACCTCATAGTATTTCTATGATGAAGCGCGCAAAGGTACCTCACAGTATTTCTATGATGAAGTGTGACCATGTGGCTTTCAATTTTCAGGAAGGTGGCGGCTTTCCAGATGATGAAGTGGAGGAAGTTCACGCAAGAAGTGCACATGCGTTGTTTGCTTGGATTGAAGTTCGGGCAATCATTTTTTGCGTTCTTTCTTCCTGTAGGAAAAGACAGAGAATGGCCTCAAGGAGCAGTGACTTTACACAGTGCCATCCGAGGAACTGACAATGACCTTCCAATAGAATGTCTGGTTTGCAGTGAGAATAACCAACGTTTTTTCGACGTGGGCTGAAGTGCTTTCCTCACTCAACTACGAAACGAACTGTTCTGATTTGAAGGCTGTTTTCGCCTTCAGAATGCACTAGTGGGAGTTTTTCCCTTCCATCCACCTGAAGAGCGGTGAGCTTGAGGCATTCGAGCCAAGAGGTGTGCGACTTGCATGGTGGCGGAGCTGCTGGCGATGGATGGAAATCCTTCGTTGGAATGAAGACTTGAAAAAACATTGCCGCCGTCCCCTTTCACTTGGCCGCGACGCCACCTCATCAGTTAGTACAAAAGTGGTGCCGCAAATCACCGATGATGCTGCGGTCACTAAGATCCCCAGCGAGTTCTTTGCAAGACTGAAAATGAGATTGTCGACGCGACTTGGTCAAGTAGACCCCACTGGCGAGCAAGACTTTTGGTCTTGGGCCTTGTCGCCAAACCACATCCGGTTGAGCCAGTCATCGCATGAGCTTATTCCACCATTGTTGACTTTGTCAGGTTCTTGAACCAAGTGCCGTCAGACATCCATGTGAGCTTCAGAGCCACATGCATGGGGCCCTGAGTCATCGATTCGACAGATTTTCCGTGACAGGAGAAATACAGCAATATGTACTGCAAGATGGTTGGAGGAGATCAATATTATTGACAACGCCAACAAGAAAGTCGCTTTTTGGGAGCGAATTGGCAAGCGAAGGAGCTCTCGCCTTTCCCACCCCAACGCTAGTCAGCGCAATGCAGGGGGAGGTGCGAGCGATCGCCTTTGGTGAGGGCCAGAATTTTCTGATGTCCTTGCTGTTGGCAGAAGATGTTGCAAGAGAAAACCTGCGTGAAGTCATCAAGGCAGCCCCAGGAGCCATAGCAGCCGGGTGCCCTTTGACGGGCTAGGATACGAGTTTGCCTGCGAGCCGGCCAAGATCTGAGGGCGGAAGCGGTTGTTGAGCGCCCGGTCACGTCTCGAGAAAAGTGTGCAAGTGCGCGCGCGACAAGAAACCGAAACAGGTAAGATGGCTTCATGGGCGTGCTGAAGAAGTTTAACTGGCCATGGGACGCTGTTGAACAGGCGCTATCATATCATCCTCCGTCATTGAGAAGGTCACGAAGTTGGGGTTGACGTGAGCGGTACTTGTATGTGTTTGCATGACCTTTTCAAAAATGTTCATCCACCCAGAGAGGGCTCGAGGCGTTTGAGCCAAAGGTGTGTTGCACGTCTTGTGCGTGTGTTTCTTTTTGGTGGCTGGTGGGTTGTTCTTGTGGGGGCGGCTTGCGGTTGGCTATCTTTTGGCATTGGACCCTCGTGGGACAGACGAACCACTACCCCACGCCTGCAGTTAATCCAGAAGGTGCGACTCCAACTCTTACACCCTTCCACCCTTCCATTTACTTGTCCAAATGCCCGTCCATTCCTTTGCCCTCCTATCCCTTAAGAAGAAGAAAACCGATGGTCAGCGATCATGATTAGAGAGGGAGAGAGAAAGGTGAGTTGTGCAAATTTGTTTTGTAACTTCAGGACCAAGCAGAAGTTGCCATGTCGCAAGAACCTGACAAGAAGACCAAATTGCCGTCCAACGAGCAAATGGATCCGCCTGGTCCAAATGCGGAGAAGGTTAAGAATTCCAAGATGCTAGAAACTTTGGCCACAAAATTTTCCTTGTCAACGTCGCCAACAGACTGACCAACCAACCGTCAAACTCCTCATGTGGGCAGCCAAGGAAGATATCGACAAGTTGGAGGGTAGCGAGGATGCTTGCAGCAGTGTCAATCAAGGGTGACGATTCAAAAGTGTGCGTCAACTGGTAGCCAAATGCACCTTTACCACACGCACCCAGAAAAACAGGGGCAGATTTGATGCTTTTCAAACCTTTCGCAGGACCAGATGCCAGAAGCAAAAGTACCCAAAGAGGCAACACCGACACCAATAGACCCAACCAGAGACTCTGCTGAGCCGCTCAATGAACCTCCAGAAGATATGGATG